TTCAGGAATGTGTGTTATATAGATCCTCATATCTTCCAGTTGAAGCAGGGAGAATATTTATTGGGAGGTAAGGCAGGGGCATATTTAATGGGAGAAGCAGGGTTCAAAATGGAAAGGAAAGGAAAAAAGGGGAAAGGAAAAAAGGGGAAGGGAAAAAAGGGGAAAGGGAAAAAGGGGAAAGGGGAAGGGAAGGGAGGGGAGGGGAGGGAATGATACAGTTTGTTTGCTTTCTTAGACCTCTCTTATGACCAAATGCAAAATACACCCCTCTCTAAAGAAGCACAATCAAAAAGCGACCAATTTTAAGTACTTCTGTTGATGATAACAAGTTACTTTGAGTACCAAAGATGAAAGCTGACCTATAAAATATTCCTACCAGACCTTAAGATACTGAGTGACACAGAAACAATAAAACCAATAAATTTGACCTGGATAATAATGAAGCAATGCATATGAGAAAAGTCGTATGGCATTTTATGTACAGATGGGCTTCAAACTAACATTTTATGAGATATGGAAGTGAAATATTTCCATGAAATTGTTCAGCATTGTTCAGCTCTAACTAAAGTGAATGTTATTAAAAAAGATATATCAGTTTCATAAATTTGAAATATTTAATTTATATATTATTTAGACAATGAGTTCTAAGGGGTGCAAATAGCATAAATGGAGTTCATATTGTAGAGAACAGAGGACTACTGCAAAATGTGCTTCATAAGAAGAAGTGCATGACCATCAGTGAATATTTCAAATAAAGATAACAGTTTCTTTTGTAGTAAATGAGTAAGTAATTATTCCTTGAACTGGTTGCTTCATGCAAAAAATATAAAAATTACCATATTCAATGTAAAAATGGACAGTAATTCCAACAACAGGACAATTTTTTTAGAAGAAATATAGGAGGGAACAAACATTTTTTGATACTGCAAGTAAGAAAATTAATCAACTACTAAAGCAAGGGGCAGAATTACGGCATTTCCATAGAATTACAGGAGTGATAAGGACAAATGAGAACCAGAGCTAAATTAATTACACTCATTACATTGTGCAGTGTAATTGCATTAATAACACTCTACATGGATAGCAAAGTGACTCTGGTATGGTTGAAAAAAATCCTTGGGTCTAAAAGCAAAAACCATGCTATCAAATGGTATAAATTTGTCTGCCAAAATATTCAAGAATCATCATCTTACAGTGAAGCTACATGAAAGCTCCACAGATGATTTGCACCATGTTCTTTCTTTGGTGGACTTTTAATGATAATGGTTTATATTTGATTTCATTTTATTTATTTTTTTTTTAATACCTGTCTGTGAGCAGAGGATAAGGCTTTCACATTCACAGAGACAGTGAGGAGGTAAGACTGGGTGGAAAGTTCAGCTATTGTATGGTTGATGGAGGAGGAAAGAAATTAAATGTAGACAAACAACAAATATTAGCCTAGGGAATTCAAACCGATACTCCAGAATATTAAGTGCTGCCTACCCTCACTCCTTTTATTTGTACCTCTCCTTTGCTTCTCCATGGCTATCTTTCCCAGCTCAGGTCCAGTGCAGGTAGCCCCTGATAATGGGATGGTGAGACCAGTGGGCCATATTTCAGGCAAATACTTCCTTTCCCAGAATGGCAGCTATTCATCCTGGTTTTCTGCCAAAAAACCTTGTGCCAGGTCACTCTGACAGGTCTATAAGCAGCATCTCTATTTCTGCTGACCAGTACAAGCTACTGACCCAGGTGAATTAGAGATCCCGTGGTGGACAAGGAGGATCAGGTGGGATGAAAAGAATATCTGTGAGGTGCTGGTTTCTTTGGCTGTGTTGAAATAATTAGGATTTCTACATCTCCTCTGCCTAGAGTATTTATCTATCTAATGTCTCAACTTTACCCATTTCCTCCTGCAGCTAAAACCAACATAGCCATTAATAAAATCTTTCATATGTGATCTGAAAATATATTCATTTTGCTATTTTACATCCCAGTTACTCACCCAGCACTTTAGCGGGTCTTCACAATAGGTGACCAGTGCATGTGTCCAAGATGAAACCTGCAGTTAATCTTTTCCACATTTTTGTTTATTCTCATTTTTGGTGTCTTCCATGGTATAATTTTCTTTTTAAAACTAATTCCTCATTCCATGCTAAAATTTCAGTTTCTGACACCTACAAAGTGTTCATACCATCATTATTTCTTATGTGGGTTCCTATGTGCAGCATTGGGTTATTCTAATTTTTTTAGGAAAGTCCCCCTACAATGAGAGCCCTCATCACAGGAAGAGTTCCTTATAAAACTCTGCTTGGCTCTCTTGCCCTCTGCTGTCAAATCTCTGAGTGATGCATTTAGACAGCTGATAATGGAGTAATTTTCCACCTCACCAATCAAGAAAAGTTCATTGTTTTCATGTACACTTTCCTCACACTATTTTACTCTGTGGCTTTAACCTCTCTGAGATGAGAATAGGGTCTCTGTCCTGCATTAGAATAGCACTCAGAGCACAGACTAGGAAAACTTTTACAGTATTATGATAAAAAATTAAGAAGGTCTCAGGAATAAGGACAAAAAATTGAACTTTGGGTTGTAGTCTCCATTCACAAAGGTCCAGGTTAAAATGCTGTTGGCCTTATGCTGCTGGCCTTCTCTCAACAATATGCCAGACCAACAACAGTATTTGCTGACAGTGGTTTTCTTTAGTAATTCAAAAGTCTGGAGGAATGAAGTTGTTTGAAAAAGGTGAACAGTTTGTCAGAGTGAAAAATTGGGATGAGGCACTACTGTAGATGCTGGCTCTGTCCCTATCCAATATTCTCCACCAGGACAGAAATTAGACAAAAATTTTGAGTATGCAAGGACAACATGGTAATGGGAAAAACCATAATCAGAAGTATTTCTGAAGCCAAAATACTTCTTTTATTTAATTGCATGAGAAAAAAATGAAAGAAAATCTGGAAGAGAAAATGGTCATGTGAAAACATGACAAAACCACACTTTACTTGAGTGTATCACCTCCTCTCAGCTTCTATGGCATTTGGTTCTTCACTGTGTTTCCAAAACCATCCTCTAGACTTGCTTCCTAAAATGTAGGACCATTAACAGATCTTACAACTTATGTTTCAGGTTAAACAGGAAAGTGACTGTTTTATGCTATTTCATTATTTTTCTGCTACTAACTTTAGCATCCCTGCATCTAAAAATCATGATGGAGTGTAGTGACAAACAAATGTGTAGAGGGGTGGTTAGAAAAAGCTGGGTGTATTTCCAGCTACTTAGAGCATACTGAGCATCAAAAAGGGGCCAAACAGAAAGAAGGGATGCATGCCACAAATGTCTCAAAGAATACTTTGTTTCCAGAAAAAAACATAAATCTAAGCCATTTGACTTCTGGGAAAGAAGAACTGTGGGGTTTTATCCCTTTAAAAAAAAAAAAAAAACAAAAACATAAATCTAAGCCTTTTGACTTCTGGGAAAGAAGAACTATGGGGTTTTATCCCTTTAATAATTTCACTAATTTCTTTTTTTCCCTCATAAATATTTTAACTTGTCATACTAATCTCTGTTTTGCATCTTTGTAACATCTGTGGATCTTCTCTAAGATGGGGACTTAATCACTTTCTGACTCAACAGAAGGAAGAATTCTTTATTTTTGCAAAGGTGAAGCTCTTGATTTAGCACACTAGATTTGATTTTATTAAATAACACCAATTAGGTCTTTCTCATTGGAATTTAGATATCAGTGTTTGTAATTTTCAGAAAAAAAAAAACCAAAAATACTTGAATTCTTTTCAGTCCCTTGAGGAAGGAAAGGAGAAACCTTTTTTAGACTGAGAAGCTAGCAAGCCAGAGTGGAAAAATGAAAGTGGGACTAAAGACAAATGCTTTTCTTGGAGACTGATTGCCTGTTCTGAGCCTCATCCTTTGTCCTCCACTGAAGTGTTTTGGCCAATAATCCTTCTGTGAAGTATGTTACCCACAGAGATCCAAAGATATCCTTCTCACCATTCAAACCACTGGGATTTTCAGTATGAATATTGCTTTCAAGATGGATTAGAAGGAGACTTGAAAACTTTGCTCTTACCAAAAGAACATGATTGCAGAAAGTTAGAAAACCAATCCAGTTAATCACAAAGAGTACAGGACAACCTCCTAGCTGGGACTAGAGATGGAGTAAGTACTTCTAAAAGCTGAGCATCACAGGACACTACAGAGCTTTGGTGCAGTAATACACTGAACATATCGAAAGAAGGAAGAACAATAAGGCAACTCTTTGCTATTTGATGAGGAAAAGGGAAAAGTTTTCCTGCTGTTCTGTAGTGGGAATTGTGCTGGGCATAGAAACTAGGGGATTCATGAAGCCCACAGTCAGGGAAAGGGTAGAGATAATATTTAATCTGAAAGGATTATCTTGGTCAGTTAATCTCAAGAATTGACATTTGAGCATAGTAATCAATGTGTGTTGTCAATTACTCTGGATCTGACTGTAAAACCCCAATGGATACTGGGTTCCTTGTAAAGCAATCATATGAGTTTGCAATAAAAGAGATGAGATGAGATGAGATAACAAATGGATGGCAAATGTGAACAATACAATTAGATTTTAAATGAAAAATATGTAGCAGTTGTGCCCTGGAGTCTTCCCAAATATTTAAGACTGATGTATCACCAGCAAAATTCATTCATTATACCCCTTGGATTTGTGGCATTATACTTTAAAGCATTTTTTGTCCTGTTAGATTTTTTTATTACCCTTTTTGCATCCTTGCAGATGTTTTCTGTTGTTCACACTAGGTACATGATGCATTTTTGTTCACACCTTTTTCAACTGAAGAATAAATGGCTGAAAAAAATTTACCCCATGAAAACGAAATGTTGAAAAATACTAAACCCTCAAGTTTGAAGTTCTCAGTGGAGGATTATTTCAAGTTCACCAGTAGATCAAATATATATATTAAATAAGTGACCTCTTAATATATTTAAATAACCCCTCCTGTAAAATAGTTTATTTTTATGTTCTTTATTCCACCAAAACTGCATTGCAGTTTTCCAGTCTTTATATTTACATTATTTGCAACTCTTTCCATAAGTGCCGGTACAAATGTAACTGATGAAAATCCAGAATAGTCATACAAATGTTCCTGAAAGCAAGGTGCATTTCTGAGCAATTTTTTTTCTGATGCACAATAATATTTATGTATATATTAACAAAGCTTCATAATATAAAATATCTTCCATGGCAAGTAAAACTTCCCCACTTACAGCTTATTCAGATTTCAGTTACACAGACTTCTGCATTTCAAGTTAGTGCAAATAATGAGAGTAAGAGCCTGAGCAGAACGATGTAAATACAACGGAACAAGAGAAACAGCAAAATTTTACCAACTCCCTGCACACGGTTATAACATTTAATCAGTATATCATTAGTATTCTTCATATACAATGTATTTAAATAATTGGCTTGTCTGAACTATAGGCAACAAATTTACAAAATAAAATAATGTTTCACACAAATATGGAATGTCGGACAAATATATGAAAATAAAATGCATCTAGTAACAAAACATTGTAAATCAAAAAGATAAAAGATGTGTCTCCATTTTTGAAGATTTCAAGGCACTTTCTTGGCAAAGCAGAATTCTCTCCTTGGTAGAAAGTCTGCAAGAGAAAACGACATGCCATTTTATAACTAGTTTCAAACCAGAAAAGCAGGCTGCTCAGCAAAATTCTGTTTATAAACCACAGTTTCCTGCGGATTGCATAAATCATAAGATTAACTTCAAATGCCAGTGGGTCTTGCCCTCCTGTGAACACTAATGAGTTTTGCCGGGGCAAATCCTCAGGGCCAAGAGGTTTAACACATGGAGGTCTGCACTACTGCACCTTGCAGGCGAGCTCCCCATGCACATAGCCACGTGCAGTTCTACATTCTGGCTTTCATCAAATGCTTTACTTCCACTTGCAGGGATCTGGCTCAGGAAGTGAAAACAAACCCACCCAAATTTCTAAGAGCTGTAAGGGCAGCATGTGCCCGGTATCCCGGCCCTGGAGCCACCCCGGCGGCTGCCCGGGGTGCGGCGCCTCTCCATGGTGCTGAAACCTCCCGCCTCGGCTTGCGCGGCCAGATCCGAGGGCAGGCGATTGGCTTCCCCCAAGCAAAAGTTCATTTCGAGGAGGAAAAGACTACGTCTTCTTTGTATAGCCGGATATTTACATATTTAGATGAGGAAGGAAAATATTTGCATAATAGCACTGCAGCTCTTTTTTTAATGAGGAAAAGGCAGACTATTTTAGTACTGGCAGGAAAATGCTTAAAAATAGCTGTCAGTTCTTCAAGTGAGAGAACCAAGATTCTCCAAGACTCTGTCAAATGTTAAAGTGAAGGCAAATTTTCTTACAGGCAACAGAATCTATGGCCATGTCCTCTCTACACTACTGAGGGTGGTGAGGAAAGCAGATTCCTTGCGACAAAAGATGAAGTAGAAGCAATCAGAGAATCATGTTAGAAATGCAATGTTTTGAGGGATGAATGTATGTAACTCCTTTGTTGCACTCCCTACTAACAGGGAAGAGAGAGCAACTCCTGCCACTTTTCACCTTCCTCAAGAAAATGTTTCCATTCCAAGAATCAGTGGATATGAGTAAACATGAAGATCTGAGGATGTCTAATTTATGATGGAAACTATCTGCTGTACTTAGTGGAGGAATGGGGTGAGGGAGCACAAAGACAGCTGGGCAACACTCAGATCATGGCTCTACTTTTTCCTATAACGTTTTCTCTATTTTCAACAAAGTAGAGAGAAAACTAGCCTAGATACAACTTTAAGTGAATGCAGTGCACACGAGCTGCTAGCAATGCTTACCATTTAAAACCTCTCTTCCCTATTTTTCATGTATTTGAATGTATTTTTGGCAGGCAAATTAAAACACCTGGCTTTGCAAATGATAGCAACTTTTGATCCTTTTGTGTTTTAAAGATGGAAATAGGATGAGATAGATGCTTCTGTACTGTGGATATGTAGGCAGATCTTTGACTCATTCTCTTAAAAGAAAAACAAAAAAATTTGGAACACCAGAAATCTCTCTGAAAACCCTGATACATGAATCCAGAGATGTAAATGGATACAGATAAAGGAAAGCAGAGATTAAAAAGGTAAAACTGCAGAAAGTAAGTGGTGGGATGTTTGAGAAAGCTGAGATTTAAAAGAGGATACTAAAAAACAGGAATTTAAGTACTATTTTTTTTTTCTTTTTAATGGGGTATTGAGAAAAGGATTCCTGCCTTGAATCATGAAAAGGAGATACATACAAAGCAAGGAGATGCCTAGTCAATCTCTGGTTTGCTGTCCTTGGTATATTCAACACCTGGAAATCAAGACGCCAAAGAGATTGAAAATTGTTAAGAAGAAAAGAAGAGAAAGAAATTATGTCATTTCTTCTCAGAACTGAAATATTGCCATATTCTTTAAAGCACAGCCTCCAAAATGAATCCCACCTCCACTGAGAAATCAAATCAGCTAACACTGACTCATATCCTACTCTTCTTTTCTTATTCTTGATTAGTATGAATTGAAGTCTTGATGCAGGAAGAAGTGACATACACAACTCCCCCAAGCTCCAAGCTTGCAGTATTTGTCAGGAGGAGGTGGTGAAAGGAAACCATCTTCAAAGAAATTTAAATAAATAAAATTCACTGGGTTTATACATTTTAGTGGTTAATAATAACAACCAGTGTGTGTATTTACAAATTAACCTTTGAAAGTATAACCATCACATTATTATTCAAACAACAGGAGAAAACAGATCACTTGGAGATGTTACTTTTATCAGTGACAGTGCTGTGTAATTAACATTTGACATGCTATTCATTAACAAGAATGGACTGGTTTCTTCCTCAGACTACTTAGAGAAACCTTTAACTTTCCACATCTTTATGTTCAGTTTCCTTCCATCACCATGAAGTGGTTATTAACTTTTCAGAAAATCTCAGAAGACAATATGGGAGTGAAAAGGGGTCCCAGAAATTAATTAAGTGACAGGTGATCTATGAAGATTGCATTGGTAGACCTGAGACCAAGACATTCTGTTTCTTCCATGGATTAACAACAAAGTCCTCTGCAGAATGGACTGAAATAAATGTGCTGCTGATGCCCTCGAGCATTTTTCTTTCACCAAGCAGACTCCTCCTTGAAATTTTGAACAGCAAGAGGCCACCCAGTGCATAGCTATGGACTGCAGTGCCACAAGTGACTTGTAGGAAATTACACTGGGGCTTGTCAGAGCTATTTGTGCTTCTATGTATTTCCAGGGGGAGCCAGTCAGTTCTGCAACAGCAAAGCTGCATGTTGATACACTCTGATAACACCACATTTTTGTATGCACGCCTGATAACAAGGTATAAGTGTGAAGTAAACCACTAGACCATTCAACAAATAAGAAAATGAGTGGGGAAAATTATACTTACATAGCAAACATCCTAGGACTGTGTACACAAAGGGCTCATTGCTAATCTCGTTAGCAATCTTGCACACCTTTTGTAATCTATAAAACAGAATTACCCACAGCAATAATGAATCTCAGTTGCCAGATACCCTCAAAAAACTGCATAAAATTAAATGTAAAGTTTGTACTTGAATTTCAGACACTCTCCACAGTGAAACTGTTATCTGATGGAAATTCATGAAATTATGTGTGCAAGATGCAATATTAGATTGTACCTTAGCATAATCAGTGTTCTAGAGGAAAAGTACAAGTGATGGAAGGAAATAAATTTCTACCAGGAAGTTTTCTACTGGGATGTGGAAGACTGGGAATTTAACTCATTAACTGGGAGGCTATTGTAACTATCACTATAACATAGTCAGAAGTCAGGCTGTTTCAAACATTTTATTGTTCCATTTATTATTAATATTGATTTAATTCCATATTTTTCACATTTAAGTACATCTCCTAATCATCAGACTAAAGATACTAACCTCCCACTTCCAATCCCCTTGTCGTGTGCCCTTGGTTCAAATGACCTCTTGGTTCAAGTGGACCCTGAGTCACTGTCATCCTTTCTGATATTTGCTAACAAGAAATACATAGGTGCTTCTCTTGCTTGATAAGTATTTTAATAAAACTTAATCTAAATTGTGCCAAATGGCGAGAAAGTGATTGCTATCTGGGTTTCAGTTCCTCAGAAAATATTTGTACAATGTATAACCATGTCAGAAGGAGAGGAAATAACTCATCCTCAGACATCCCATGATGACTAAGGTGTCCCTGACAGAAAATATCAAACCCCTCTAAAGACACAGGGATGGATCTTGGCTATGATCAGCCTGAGTGATAAGGTGGAGACAAATCTGAAGATTTAGCTCTCCTTTTTAGAACAGAACATTTCAGGTGAATGTAACTCATTGTCTGCTTCGGGTTTGCTTGATGAAAGGGGGAACAAAAACTCTGCTGTGGTTTAAATCACCCTTTTTATTTTACAATTTGCTTTGATAGTTGAACTAAAAAATAAATCCTTCACACCATTCAAAATGACAGTCTTATTTTTAACTTTAAGAAAAGGTATTTAATTTGAAGAAAAATAATATTAATGTGTTTCTTTAGAAATAAAGTGAAACACTTAGGCAATACATAAGAGTCTGAATAATATTCACATGCTCTGGATCCATGTGTCAAGGCATACAACTTGCAACATGGTATTTTCGTTGCACAGCATGTAACAGAAATATGCCTTGCCTACTCCTGCGTCTACTTGGAAAGCTGCATGTATAACTTTTGAGGGTCAGCCATGGATTCTTATATTCCAGCTTCTGATAAGTGTAAAGCCAAATGGAGATGAGGGCTGCTCCACCCCCTTTCAAACACTAAATCCTCTGATGTGCTGAGCTATGGTGACAGAGCACCTCAGCTGCTCACAAACAGTGCTTCTAAGTGATGCAGCCAGAGAGTGCCATTGCTTTTTCATGTTAAATCCTGAAAAGCTGCCAAAGCACCAAACTTTGTCCACAGTTTGTGCTTACACATCCCTAATGAGATTCACTTTCTCTAATTAAAATACACTGCTTCTTTTCCACTGACTGTTATTGCATTGTCCATTGCATTAGAGAATGCTGAAGTAACTTCTATTTAAGGAATTTCCATTTTGGTTTGGGGATTTTGTTTGGGTTTTTTTTATCCATTTTATCCAAGAACCCTTTTATTTTTCAGTGTCTCTGACAAAACTATATTCAGGCTGTGTTAAAGCAAAGCTTCTGCAGTCTCAGAGAGGAAGGTTGCTTGATGAGAACTGAAAGTATCAATAACATGATGAATCAAATTATTTTATGTTGTTTAACAATGGGCATATAATAGAAAACTATACTCACAAGCTGAAATATACTAAACCCCAAAAGTACAAATCTACTATTAAGCATTAATAGAAGGTAAAGAATGGTTCAGATTTTATCTTGCACAAGGAAAGCTAAAGAGAGCAAGAAGGAGAATATCTGCCCTCTGCATAAGCATGCCCTACTGGTTTTCTTCAGTGTAGTTTTCATTTCATATATTTCAGCATCACTTTGAAGGAACTCCATGAAGTTCAGCTGACAGCAAGGGCATTAACAGAAAATCTTTATACATTAGAAGACCTTGGATATGCTTTTTAATGTAGTGCTAAAGAGTAACTCTTAAAAAAGGACCAGGACATCAAACTCTTAATAGATAAAGTGTGTTGCTTTCAAGGAAGTATCACAGCTAAAATTAAAAAGTACTTTGCTACTTACAGGTTGGTGTTGAGCAGTCCCTTGTGTTGTGATACAGTCGATGAAAGTGCTTGCTACACTCTGAGGAAAATGTGACTGGCCCTGTTTGAAAGTAAGGAGGAGTTAACAACAAGCTCTCAGTGTCACTGCTCTGCAGCTTCAATGAATGACAACGACACATAGCACTAAGTTCTTTTTCTCTAAAAGAACTAAAATTGCATTTAGTCTTTTACTATACCTTAAACAACTATGATGCAACACAAGTATAATAATAATGCTAGTGGAATAACAGAAAGAAATTCTGTTGCTGTGAACACAAGTATAATAATGCTAGTGAAATAACAGAAAGAAATTCTGTTGCTGTGCCTTTATGCTCATGATATAGAAAACAGAAAAAATGGCACATTAAAATAATGGGCTGGTTTAGCCCATTCAAATTCAAAATTAGCAGTAAAATTTCTTATATGGTGAAAAACAGAATGACAATTACAACAGAATTTAGTTTGTTCAATGGTTGTCTGTAGTCTAATGTAGAAGGAATAATGCACCTGGACTGAGGATACTATTTGTAAAGATAAATAAAAGCAACATTTTAAGCAAGCATGAGTTTCTAACCCCTGGAAAGATGATGTACTTTCATGTACTAATGCTTTTAATTTGCACATAGATGGTTTATAAAATTCTTAATATACAGTGTGGGTGTCAAGGGGAAAAAAAAATGACAGCTGAATAACATCTAGGAACCTGATCTCCTGTTAAATAATCCTAATAAAAAAGCATACAATGTGCAGAATGCAAGATATGTTTCATCTTTGGGAAGGCAAATCCCTGCATGTCCAGGGTATAGTGTACTGCTCCCTTCTTTGGATATACAGTTCCATCTGTTTACGTTAATATTTGATTTAAAAAGCATCCCTGCTTGTGGCCAGGGGGTTGGAACTAGATGATCTTTAAGGTTCTTTACAATCCAAACCATTCTATGGGTCTATTTTTCTATAAAACATGGCTTAACTGTAACAAGTTGCTAAAGACCCCTTCCAAAATTGCTGATGGCCCCAGAAAGTGTTACTGGTGACATTCAAGTTGAAAAGGAGAGCAAAAATGCAATATTTGCATTCATAACCTGCTTAGCAAGACACTGACAGCTGGGAATGAGTATCCTGTGATTTGGACAGAAAACATTGATATGAACTGATGTTAAGTGAATAAGGCTAAATTTAAATGCAAATTTAGTACAAGTAGGAACCCTGAATAAGAATAGCTTGCATCAAGCAATGCTACAAAATGATTCACATGAAGCAGACTTTGTTGGCCAACTTTCCTTTCAGAGGAAACTAAGGTTCATTTCTGGGGAAAAAAAAAAAACAAACTTGTTTCATAACTTGAAAGATGGTTTATGGGCCTGGTAAAATACATAAAGCTAATTCTCTCTGGATAGTGAAGCCAAACTGCCATGAGCTCCAGAAAAGATTCCTCTCTATGACAGTGAACATACTTGAAGATTAGATTTATTTTACAGTGCTACATGTGTTTCAGTAGATTTTTTAAGCCACAAATAACCTTTTCAACAAAGGAAGAGCAGCCTTTGCAAGTCTGAACTGGAATATTGTGGCCATTTTTTTATTCTGAGTGAGTAATTAGACTCAAGGAAAAATATGTAATTTGAAATTATCCAGCATATATGGAGACAACACTGGCTTTTGTCACTAAATAAATTCCATGTCCCTTTAGATAATATATGGTTTTCTAGCTCATTTCCCTGTCATCAAAAATAGGCTGTTAATTTTATTGTGTCTTACAAAACACTCTGTGTCAGCTGGCTTTCCAAGCTAAATTGATAGATTACTTTATGACTCACAAGATTATTTATGATTTTTCCTATAGTCAAGGACTGTTACATATGGTTCTTATTTGGCTTTAAAATGTGTCTATTACTCCTGGCATATGAGAAGTGTGCAATAATTTTGTTAACCCTGAAACTGTAAAGATAATGTACTATAAAGATAATGTTGATTTCAGCTTCTCTCTTTTTTTTTTTTCACCACTTCATTAGTTTAGGTTGTCCTAATTCTGAACTAGTAAGAACTGTAATCAAACAGTTTAATTAATGAAGGCTGCTAGAAGATTATGATTGGAACAGAATAACAAAATCCAAAGTTCCACTGTATTTTAAGAAAATGGCTATGGATTACAGGATCTAGTAAAATGATGAAAAATGAAATAAAATATAAAACAACAGGCAGAAAATTCCATCCCTGAAGATCTTAAGATATATTAAAAAAAGAGTGAAAGAAAGAGAGGAAGAGAGAGAGAGAGAAGAGAAAGAAAAAGAGACAGATAGATAGATAGATAGATAGATAGAAAGAAAGAAAATGAAGAAAAGGAAAGAAAAAGAAAGAAAGAAACTAACTGTAGGCAGAAATTCTGAGCCAACAAATAAACTTTCAGTATTTTGGAATGATCCTGCTATCCTCATTCATTCCAGCTAACCTTACTCAAGTAATTTCAGCAATTTTGATGGCAACTAAATTAAATTCCTGCAGAAAAGGACTATTAATTTCATGAATGGGTCCACAGACAGGCCTTCAAGTATTTTTTTTCTTTTCTATGATTTACCAGTCTCACAATAACTTTTGTAAAACTCATGGCTGTTTTCCCCTGGTTTTGAGTAATGAAAATCAATCTGTATTCATTACTTAGCTTCCCCAGATTCTTATGTTGAGCTTTTTATGGTAGCTGAGGAGTTTCCAAAGCTAAAAATGAAAAGGAAATTGATTAAGTACTAACATAAACAAATCTCTCTTGTCTGTCCTTCCCAGGAGAGGAATATTCAGTGTTGCTCTGCCACATAGCACAGCGTAGTTTGAAGCTCTATGTTGATTTCTTTCTCATATGGACTGAAAATGATCAGGTTCACAATTACTCTTGTTTACTGCAGGGGTGAAGGGCCAGCTGGCTCTGGCACAGTTCCTGTAGATTCTGTTGGGTTGCGGTGAGCCATTGGCAGAAAGATCCTTAAAGTTGTGCTTATCCCAAGGGTTGGAATACACTTCCCCCATGCAAAAGAGACAACAAATACATTCCTTTCTTGTCAAGCACTGCCTGAAATATCCAGCAATGAGGAAAAGCATAATTATTTCTAATTCTCTTTTTCATGCTCCAATGTCCAACTATTTGTCCAGCTTTTAGTTTTAGTATTTCATATAACCCTGAAAATCACCATGAGATTTGCAGTATCATACTTTGAGACCTTCACTTTTCTGAGTTACAGAAAGCTGGAACTGGAGAGCAAAGAACCAGTGCAAGCACCTTGTCATTGGCAACTTGTATTGAATATATTCAGAGGGTATAATATTTTTCTCAGTAGTAACAATACAGTCCCAAAGTTAAGTGCGTTATACAGTTTTCAAGTACTTGGTTGTAATCATCATAAACTTTCATACTTGAAACAGCATGTTATTTTTTATATTTCATTTACACTAATTTAATTCTTCCTTGTTCTATCTGTTTCCACTATTAAAATAAATATCCACACGTAGACATCAGGAGACAGATGCAAAAAATCTTTCCTGATTTGGTAAAAACTTACGTGGCCACAAAGGTCTGTTTCTTAAAAATATGTGCAGTCCAATGAGAAGTTCTAAAATTAGTGAATGTGAAAATAAATATGGAAAGCACAATAGGACTATAAAAGTTAAACAATGACTTTTAAATAATGTTTTAACTTACCACATTTTGAAAGTTATTTTAGAACAGATAGTTCAGTTGATCATTCAATGAAACTAGAATTCTTCAAAAATTTCTACTTCTAAAATATGCACATTTAACTTCAGAAATGTTAGCCTCAGAAATGTTGAGCCTCAAAAAAATTAGTGGTGTGACATTTGCAGCTACTTAGAGTATGTACATGTGGAAAAACACAGGCAGCTGCCTTACCTGTAAAATGTTTTATGAACTTGTCTTTTAGACTGGAATCTCTTGGAAAAATTTCTGAGGAGAGAAGAAAAAAATTATATTTATGAAGTCTAGGAATTACAATAAAAGTTCTGAAAGCATCATATGCCAAGATGTCTGATGTACAGAGACCAAATAGATTCCCAAATCAACTATAGAATTAATTTTCATAGTTGTGGGGGTGTGGGTATGTAAACAAAATTGTGAGGTACTTCAGGTAATTCCCAGATGAATACTAAATGGTCATCCTACAACACACAATCATTTTCTGACACCAATTTCTGCACATATTAGGTCTGAGGGGGGCTGTAAGCATAGAAAGACTACAAATAGTATAAATATATTATCATACATACAAGCATGTAAATACTTGAAGAAATTATGTAAAATACTTATGTGAATACCAACTAAATATTACTTTTTGGGTTTTGAAATAACAAGTACCTGAAAAGTCTCCTACAAATCACCTAAAATAGACATGGGTTATGCACATTTTCATTGCAATATTAGTAAAAAAAGGGTCCTTCTCTCCTGTGAAAACTGCTGTGAATTTTAAAATATTCCCTTTCCATTTATGGAATTTTTTTCACAGAAAGTACAAGAGATTAAAAGCCTCAGAACACTCAAAAGAATCACAAAGAACAGAAAATGGAAATAACACAAAAGATAAAGTTTCTTTTTCTTTTTTTTTTCCTCTTTTTTCAATGGGATGCTGCCTCTGGCTGACAGCAAAAACTTTTGATGCAAGTAAATACCCTCAGAACCAGTACACCTCCCCTCAGTCTCATTAATTTTCCACTAAAAAAACTATTTCAAAATTTTTGGGTACCTGCAGTTATTACTGGAGACAGTAACAAGCTGCCTGTTATGCCAAATTCAAAGAACCTTCCCTGGCTGTTGGACAAGGACCATTGCTGACTTAAAGGATTGGGACCTGCAGTTAAATACATTTATTCACTAAAAATATTTCCTTATATCTAAAGTAATTTCAAATCTTTGTATTCTCCTACATTTTTTTTCCAATTCCCAATCTGAGTTAACATTTAGCTCAGAAGGGAGCAAGTTTCCTTTCATACTATAGGAAGATGTTGGTTATCTGCCAAGATAAATTCTTACCACTGCCTTTAGGCAGTTTCTCAGAGGTCACATGGGTGTATTTTTAGGCTGGGATTTTAAGATAAAATGCCCAAGTCTTACTGCAACTCACCAAGGTTAGGAAACCTACTTTACTTAAGATTCCTTAAAAAATCAGTTTTAACTAATGTCTTTCCTCATTGCAGAAGAAATGCCACCCCTTCTCCAATAAAATTAGAATTTTACTCATAAGAAATGTCAGGTAGTTTAAAATTATACAGAATGAAGGAGACAAAAAGGCAAAATAGGGAAACAGTTGCTGTGAGTTTGAATGAGATGCCTCAGGTGGACAAGTACTGATAAATAATCACTGTCTGGTGAAGGATAGGCTAGGAACTGACCGTTCTTGCTCTGACAAGGAACACTTAGATACAGACACTGGCAAAGTACATAGAATTTCCTGTGGGAACAGTAGCTGCTTTTTGCCCCATAAAATTCTTTAGGAAAAGTGTGTATACAGCCAAAACCCCACCTCTTAATGGCCAGAAGGTGAAACAGGACAGACTGATGCTCTGTCAAGGAGCTATGCACTGCAAGTACAAACTTGCAGCTGTAGCTATGTTGGTAAGCCTGAGAAGGAACACTGCAAAGTCTGCTTTCCACATTGGCCCAAGGTTCACACCAGCCTGTCCCAACAGGGAAATCTAGGTCAGTTGTGTGTTGAAAAGCAGCCGAGCGACGCTGCCTGCGTGCCTGCTGCTCCCCTGCTGCGGCTGCTGTCCCTCCGGGCAGCACTCAGCTTTTCAACATGTGCCCAGCTTCCTTCAAGTGCTCCTTTGCTTAATAGTACAGTGCATGTGCGGGGTGAAACACAATCAGTGAGCCCCCAGCCCGGCACAAAAACAAGCTAAGCTCATTTGTATGAGAATCACAGGCAGCACAGGTTACTGGAACGCTTCTGGCTCTAATGGCAGAGGCAACTCCCCCTGAACTATGAATTGCCCAACACAAGCAGTCATTTTCTCCCCTCTTCCAGCAGCGTAGCCAAGCCCTTCTGTCTGTACACAACTGCAAGTCTGAGGTCCCGAAGGACTTAGCATTTCAATCAAACTAATGAACATCTTTGAATAGAATATGTGTCACTGGCTCCTGATCACACTGCAGCCAGAAGCAGGATATCAAGTTCATACATATTTCTGACAAGCTCTTCTATGAAGCAGAAAAAAACATGAAAAAGCCCCTGAAATAGCTTTTTCTGGCTTCTAACAAGTTCTTAGTTGCTCCAGTCATATTCTATGTGTTATCTATCACCTATTACATTGTCCATTTTCACAACAAAGGCTCATACCCTCACAATGCAAGTTAAATTCCTTTAACATACTAATTTCACAAAAGAAAAGCAGAAGCATTAATATAATGAGATAGATTTGCAAAGTATTACTAAGATCTAAACACTTCAAAGTCACACTGTGAAAAACTAAAAACAGGAAAATGAAAAAATAAAATGTTTTAAGTGTGAAACCTACATAAATGGGAAATATTGACTGGAGAAAGCTTACTCAATCCACTCTTGCCTCCGCACCATATTACACAAACTATTAAAATACAGCCAGTATATATCTTATGGGATATAGTAACAATGGTTTTATTCAGCTAGGAGAATATTTAGACTGTGGCATTCTTGTGCCTAGGCTTACAAAGTCTGCACTGCTCACCATCTGCACTGCTCACCACAGAGTACATCTGGGTTAAAAGGCACTTGAACTATTGACTCTGTGTTTGTTCTGGGCATAATGTCATTTTATAATAATAAATAACCTTAGTTCTAGGATCTACTTCTTATACATCAGGACTTTTATGTATATCCTTAGATATTCACCCATCCAGGGCAAAATATTGACTGTCCTTCCACAGACAGCACTGGCCATAGGCAACTATTAAATGGTGCTAAGATGGATTTGCAATTGGCTCTTCTGCCCAAAATAACAGAAATATTTATGGCAAACTCTAGGGAAAGATAAATTTTAAGGGTTTTCCAGCTCTGCTTCACAGACAGAATGGTTAAGTTTATAATGCAAAGTTGGTTCTAAACCAATCCACACTGTTAGTTCTATCAAGCTATGACATTCCAGAGATCTCATGGTTTTAGGTAAGACGTGACTAGATCTACCTGAATTTTATCTCACCTGGGATAAATGTGATTATGAGGAGAGCTAGCCAGGTCCAACCTAGGAATCAGTAAGCAACACCTGATCCAGCTCCCCTCTCTCAAATTTTGTTATAAACTTTACAAAGTTGATTTAACCAATGTTGTAAAGCTAATTCCCCAGAAGATTATTCTTTCAGTTGTTATTCAGCACTCAGCAGATGACAGGAATGCTTAATTTTTCACTAATTTGGGTGAAATTACAAAAAGCTCTGAGATTAAATAAACTACAGCCTGCTCTCAGGTTTGTCCTCAGATTGCAATTTAAGACATAATGGCTCCACTTTCAATGGGTCTTTTCACCTTTCTGTGCCTTCAGTTTCTCTGTGTTTTGTCTGTTCAGACTGCAAAGTTGTGACAGCACATGCTGATTTTTACCCTGTGTTTGCACTGTCTCCTGTATCATGTCACCAAAATTGTGCCAGGAACATTCATGTCCTAATGGAGTATAAATAAAAAGAACTGTGATCACAGCCCTGAAATAAGCCAATTCCACACAACAGTTTGTTGACTTGGAACATAAAACCTCTACATCCTCAGGCAGAAAAAACCGCAAGATTTCCATTTGTTTATGCTCCCAACAGAAAACTTTTTTATATTTTTAGTTTATTTGGAGAATTAGTGTCAATCAGACAGCAAAAGTGCTCCACTGGTCAAGGCTGGGCCAATCAGAAATGGTGGTAACACCTTTGTGATAACATATTTAATAAGAAAATAAAAAGAAGTTATTGTGCAGATGTAACTAAAGCCAGAGAAGAGCAGATTGAGAACACTGAGAGGAACAACTCTGCAGACATCACGGTCAGTGGAGAAGGAGGAGGAAGGGGAGAAGGTGCTCCATTGTGCTTGAGCTGAGATTCCTCTGCAGCCCGTGGTGCAAACCATGGTGAGGCAGCTGTGCCCCTGCAGCCCATGGAAGTACAGGGGGATGCAGAGATCCAGCTGCTGCCCCTGGAGGAACTCCACACCAGAGTAGGTGGATGCCTGAGAGGAAGCTGTAAACCTCTGGTAGGCCCATGACAGAGCACAGTCCTAGCAAAGATCTGCAGACCCATGGAGAGAGAAGCCCACACTAGAGCAGGTTTTCTGGAAAGACTTGTGACCCCATGGGGATCCACACTGGACCAACCTGCCCTGGAAGGACTGCACCCCATGAAAGAGTGGCTCACGTAGCAGCAGTTTGTGGAGGACTGTTCCCCTTGGGATGGGCTCCAGTTGGAGAAGTTCATGAAGAAGTGCCTCCCGTGGCAGGGATACCATGCTGGAACAGCAGCAGAAATGACATGCAATGAACAGATCTAATATCCATTCCCTGTCTCCCTCTGCCACTGAGGGAAGGAGGTAGAGCTGAGAAGAAATGAGGGGTGGGGGAAGGTGTTTATAAGGTCTTATATTACTTCTCATTATCCTACTCTGATTTTGTAAGTAGTAAATTCAATTAGTATCTCTAATTCCAGTCCGTTTGCCCATAACGGTATTTGGTGATGGATCTCTCCAGGTCCTTATCTCAATTCATAAACCTTCATTATATTTTTTCTCCCCCCTCCAGTTGCAGAGGGGAGTGATGGAGTGGCATTGGTGAGTGTTTGGCATCCAGCCAGAGTTGTGCACAGTTGTGCATTTTCTTGGTTTTTTATCTGTGAAATGGCAGAAGAAAACTGTCAGCAGTAAGATGCAGCTGACTCTTCCATTATAAACCCAGATGCAGGCTTCCAAAATGTTTTGGCATGAAAATAGCATGTGGGTTTCAGTTTTC